AGATTTACGACCCTCGAAAACCACAAAATCGACACCCATGACGTTCATTAATGTTAATATTGTTTAAAACTTAAGAAGGGGGATGTTACATGTATGTACATCACTAATTAGTAAGTAGTCGCCCCCTCACTATAATGTGTTATATAAGGTAGGACACTCGTCATTAACGCCGCTGTCTACCTGTCATAGTCTAAGTGTGTGTACATGTCGTGCGCCCTGCCCATTATTGTAATAAATCCAAGTATAATAAATCCGTCTATAATTAATCAATCCACCAACATAACAGCCGTAATGTAATACGGCGGATTATGCAATTCGCCTGCGACATAAGCAACAAACAGGATGTAAGTGACATATGTACCCTGGGAGAATCCAAATGACGCGATAGGCAACCTATCAGACAGTCAGGTTATCAGGTCACAGCGATTCAAAATATAAAATTATTTATTTATTTATTTAAGATTTTTTTTTAAGGGGGGAAAATCATCGAATGACTGCTCCCGCCTGGGTGAGGCGGAAGGGAGTGTCAGACTCTTACTGACTAAAAACCACCCCGTTCCTTCTCCTGCACGTCGAGCCGGAGCCCCGGTTACCCGTTAGGTTCTCCGCGACTCCGAATCGGCATCGGCCGTATTGGGCCCCATCTGTGGTGGTCTGATGGCTCTTTGAGGCGCGCGCGGAACGCGACGCGCCGTACGCTCGGGTATTTATTTAAGACTTAGTACAGTAACAAATGTACAGGTGGACTTAATGCCTTGGGCATTGTCTCACAGTCGACCTTAAGGTGGTGCAGAGATGAAACTGGCAGGTGACTAAGCAAATGTTGAAAATAATAACTATATATAAATACCTACTTATATATATATACAGTCATACATATATGTATATGTACACATACATCCAATACTTATATCATATAGTAGTACTATATACATACATACATACATATATAGGTACCCAAGTAAAAACTAAATAACATAATAGGAGACAACTTATGTTTGAATCGAATCTGCCAGTTTTTTTTTGTAAATGCTCGCGAACCTTGGTTTTGAAAGAAAAGTGAGAGTAAATTAAACTGTCAAACACCAAGCGGTCACCGGTGACCGCAACCTATTGTTCTATAATTGTGTCTACAAAACCGGTACTCGACGAGTTAATACACCAAAACATCTTTTTGTAAAATAGTGCCAAGTCGAGATGAGATATAAAGTAAAGTTGTCGGATATTATACAGCCCCAATTGTCTACATCTAAAAGCCCTTAAAATTCATTTCTTATCCATAATTTTTTAATTACCTTCTGGGCACTTTTCTCATAGACATGTTATTATTTAAGTACTGTTTATTTTTTATTAGCTTTTGCCCGCAGTTTCGCCAGCGTTTTAATGGAATAAAAAGGGTACTTTTTATTAAAATAACAACACATAGGGTTATGGTTATGGTCTAAAATAACAACACATAGGGTACTATGTGTTGTTATTTTAGACCATAACTTAACCCTGTTCCGAACATCCCCCTTCAGCCGTTATGGCGTGATTGAGTAACAAACATCCACATTAACACACAGACTTTTGTACTTATATTATTAGTAAGATAGTGAATGTATGAGATGAGTCATGAGTGACGTTTAAATTGTACCGTCGATCAAATGAAATAGTTCGAAGTTCGTTTGGGCGTCTTTGTTTCAAGTTGTTTTTCTCGAGAATTCTAACTTTATGCTAGCATGTCATACATTATTAGAAAGCTGGGATATTGTAGATATTTTATCAAACATCTGCAGAACATCCGTCATAGAATTTTTCTAAAATATCTTGCTAAGAAAACGAAACCTTATCACAAATTTATTTATATTTTAATAAGCCTTCGTCTACTACGCCTCTGTTGGTCACTTGCAGTTTTATGGTTTCATATTATAAAAAAAATAATCTTCTAAACAAATTGGCAAAAAACAGAACAAATTTGAGACACAAAAATAGATGCAATCGACCAATGGAATTTTTTATAAAAGTAATTCAGACGCCGATATCTTGAGAACAGTTCAATTTGGAATATGGGTTCCTTAGTCAAATCAGTATTAAAGGAGTAGCTTCAGAACCAAGGAATTGTAGAATTTAAACACGGTTATTCTCTGATTTAGTAGACTTTATTCCACAAACACTTTCTATGACGGTCAACAAGCAACTGTCGTGTTAAATCATACACGTGGGTATTTAAACTAACAAAATCAATTGAGTAGACACTCATATTTATTAAACAATATCAATTATAATTTAAAGTATGACAATGCTATTAATTAAACAATTAAATCACAAAATTATAAATAGATATAATTTATATAAAGTTAAACTATAAATGTAAAATATTAGGTATTAAATAAAGTTTTTATTCAGTACATCCGTTTGGTCACGATATTCGATTAGGTGAGTATGAATTATTGTTAATTATGTTAGTAATATTATTATTAAATACTGTTAGGCTTACAGTATGAATGATGTATACTATCCCCTCCCAAAGGATTTAGGTCGACTTAACCTGTAACCCTGTATACATACATATAAGCCAATATTCAGATTAGACTCTTCACACCAAAGATTATTTCAGATGAAATAATGCAATAATAAGAAAACAAAGGAACTATAACAATTTAAATTTTAGTTCCTTAAAGCTTAAACTCGTCATTAAATTAGGCTTATTGGCATAAATTATACTACTGGTTAGTCTATCTTACTTACGTTAAAGTTCTTCTTCTTACAGTGCCTCTTCAATGTTGAAGGTCGGCTGTCAGCTTCTTGTATTTCTCCTTGTCGGTAGCCATGCGGAACAATTGTTCGACAGATGTAATGCCGGTCCACTCCCGGATGTTTCGCAGCCACGATTTTCTTCTGCGCCCAGCACGTCTCTTCCCCTCCACTTTGCCCATCATGATCAGTTGAAGCAGTGAATATCTATCGTGTCTAAGCACGTGACCGAGATATTCGATTTTTCGCTTTTTGATGGTCAGCATAATTTTCCGGGTCATTTGGACGCGCTGTAGCACGGATTCGTTGCTGACCCTTTGTGTCCAGCTGATTCGGAGCATACGACGGTAACACCACATCTCGAATGCATTTATACGTCTCGTAGTGTCCTCCTTCACGGTCCATGCTTCACATCCGTACATGACTAGAGGCCAGATGTAGCAGAAGAGTAACCTAACTCTGAGCTTAATGTTTATTTGACGACAACACAGAACTTTCCTCATTTTGTTAAAAGATGCTCGGGCAATTTCTATCCGGGTCTTAATTTCTTGATCTGATTCCCATACTTCATTTACCCAAGCACCGAGGTACTTGTATTGTCGTACTCGTTCGGTACGTTAAAGTAATGAGCTTAATAAAGATTTTTGTAATATTTCTTTGTTTGTGGTGGAAGTTGTCGTCGTCGTGTTCGACAACTTGATAAAGATAAAGATATGTTTATTTCTAAGTATATGGTACACTGAGACCTTAAACTAAATATGAAATCACATTCTCATTTGATACAATTATCGTAATTAATTTAAATTCATTGAAAAAGAATACATGTTTTGTCCAAATTATTATGTCAAAAATAAGTACAAATAATACCAAAATACACAAAAAAAATACAAATTTATACATATATGTCATAGTTAATGGTTCCAGTGTCAAAAATATTAATCATAATGTCAATATTTCCATTAGCATTAAATGTAAATTACAATGTCAAGAAGGGTGATTTAAAAAGTCATTAACGGAATAAAAACACATGTCCAATAGCCAAGTAAACATTTTACATTTAAATTTATTAATTGGTAACATTCTTAATGCAGGTGGTAATTTATTAAAATTTTTTATTGTCATGCAACTTGTCACGCAAACAGAGCACAGATCTTTATGCTTAAAGTGTTTTTATTATTGTACAATGATAAATATAAGAATTATTACTTATACTCCCCTGGTTTAAAGATTTAAATTCAATTTTTGCTTCGTCCGTTGACAGCTCGCAGGAACTTTTCAATTTTTCGGATGTAATTTTATCAATATCACTAGGTAAACACTATCTATAGTACTTTAACACGTAATTCAACATATTTTTACATATTTAAAGCTATAATATTACTTAAAACTAATTTAAAAATTTAATTTAATCACAAGGTCGACTTTTTTATTTATATAGATAAGACAATCCTTTCATGCTGGTTTCGGCTAAGGTGACCATTTCATGACTCCTGGCGTCTATCATGGGCTCTCACGTCACTGGGAAATTTATTTATAAATATTCTTCCGAGATGTTTATTTAGGGGGCGACCATAAAGTACGTAAGATGTTTAAGGGGGGAGGGGGTAGACGCAAATCTCACCTAATCTTATGTTGGAGAGACCCCTCGGCAAATATCACGTAATTTTTTTCGGATTGAAACAAAATAAAGTTATACTATTTTAGTTCATTTAATCCAGATTGTACATGCTTAAGATTTAATTGTTCATGCACATGATTTTTTTTTCTTTTTACGGTAACAATCCAACGCGTTTACGTGAAAAACCAACGTTTTGAAAAATATCACGTGAGATTGAGGGATGCGGGAGGGTGTTGAATAAAATCTCACGAAATCTCACCAGGGGGGGGAGAGACAGAAGATTTAAAAAAAACACCCCACGTAATATTTATGAACGCCCCCTTATACGTATACTTGGTGTAGGTATTCTCTGGGGTATTACGTTGGATTACTCTTAAAAATGAGGACGCAAAGTCATTTTTCAGATTAGACCTTTCGTAAAAATATTATCTTCATTGTTATTATTCTGATATTGATAAGTACTCTGTTGTCTATTTACTACAATGACACATCAGTTTGTGATAAAACCCGAAATAATCACAAGTGACAAAATAAACATGTATTAGTATTAGTTCAGGGCTGTCCCCAGCATTAGATATTAGTAATAAGATGTCTAACTGTAAACAGGGAGATAAATAAATAAAGAGTACTTAAGCCGAAGTGGGAACAGCCACGGCGTTAGTACTAGTCTGCTGGCCATAGCTACCGACACTCGCAGCCTCCACTGCCTCCGCCTGCCATCACCATGAAGATCCCCGTAAGTGTGCTTACTCTTTATTCATTTGTTTACTCATCTCTTTACCTCTATATAAGAACTAATCTACTTAAAAAAGTAAAAATCAAAGTTTTATCATTTTCATTTCATAAGCCTTGTTGTGGTTGTGATTGTCAATATGTCTTTATTTTCTTGTTTTTTTTAATTTTTCCCCACTCAAGGGTTTTCTCCTGTGTCGTGGGTGCGTTTACAAACATACAATCTCACATACGCATGCCACCCAAGCCCAAAACACAACCCGCGACACGTTGCGTGGCAGCGGGTTGCCCAGCCACCGGACTAACCGTGCTGTCATTTTGTTACAGATCATTATCGCCCTGGTCGTGGCCCTCTTCAATGAGTTACACTGTAAGTAAATTCGACTTCTATTATACCATTACTGGAATAAATTATACTTTACTGTATTAAGTGTGTACCTATACCTCGAGATCTACATTACGAGATTTTCGTTTTTAATTTCGTTTTGAATCAATTTCAGTAAATTCCACTATTTTTACTCATTGTTTCTCGTACTACTTATTACGTAAAGTTTCATTAATTTATTTCATTTGTAGCGGTAGGCATCATAAAAATATCTGCTCTGCTATCTGCGACGATTACTTACCATGAGGTGATCCGTCTGCTCGTTTACCGGCCTATCCCATAAAAAAGCAAACAAGAAATACAAGCTCCTATCTCACGTTTCAATTAACTGATTTTAGGTGCACCAGTACGAGACGACGAAGGATACTATAAAGAAGGACACTCTTTAAATAGATGGGGAAGACATTATGGTGGAGGTTTTAACTTAGGTATCCATGGCGGGGTTAAGGATGGATTAGCATCTCTTGGAACTACGAATAATTTCGATTTCAACGCTGACGGCTATGATGGTACCGATAGAAGAGATGTTTATTATACTATTAACGCTCAGCCTGCACCTTCAAATTCCGGGAATCGATACAACCCTGGTTACAGCTCACCATACGGTGAATATACTCCACAATATGGTCAACAGTTCTCACAACAATACTCTCAAAACCGCCCTGGATTTGAACCACAGTACGAAGCGCAGTACCCACAGCGTGCTCCGCCAAGGAGAAGAGCAGGGTCACGTAGACCACCGACTGATTCGCAGAGGTATCAAAGAAGGGAAGAAGAAGAAGAAGAAGAAGCATAAGATGTTTTATTTTACTTTGTTTTACACGTTACTCACTGTAACTGTATGACAAGGTACTTCGACTACTAAGGTCGTATTATGAAGATACAATATATATTGTAGTTTAGCCATTTGTATTTTTTATTTCCAATAAATAAATCTTTGATGTAAAGCTTATACTCTTTCATTTAATAATTTATTGAATAATACTATAATAATAATGAGATTGCCTCGTTGGCCGAACGGGCAAAGTATTACAGAGTTTTAAAAAAAATCTTCCAAGCGAGATTAGCAAAGATTCGGCGTGTTGGAGAATCATCTTCAGAATATTCTGATCGACTCGAAAGTCAAAGAGAATATGCATCACAATCACGGGCCAGAGAATCTAGCGCCGAACGCTCGCAGCGACTTGCTGAGAATAGAAAGCGAACCTCGCAAGCTCGCGCGCAAGTCTTGCAAATCAAAATGTCAGATCGTCAGAGGTTAGCGAAAGATAGTCGAACGCAGAACGCGCGCAACGCCTTGACGAAAATCGAACAAGAATTTCGCAAACACGGGCAAGACAGTGCAGTGTCGAACGCTCACCTCGCCTTGCAGAACAAAATGAACGGTCTTCTTAGATTTACGAACGAGAGTCGAGCTCCGAACGTTCACAACGCCTCGCTAGAAACAGATAGAGACTCGCGGGCACGTGCCAGAGAATCTAGCACCGAACGCTCGCAGCGGCTTGCTGGACTGAGAGTCAGAAACTCACAGGCGCGTGCCCGAAAGTCTAGCGGTGACCGCTAGCAACGACTTACGGCACAGAGAGAGAGAGACAACATGCAGTAGCAATTAGAAGGCGTGATGGGATTTCAGCTCACAGCAATAGATCGGCATTCAGCTACGACCCACAAATTAACTACGCCGATCAAAACAGCATTCAAATTGGAGCGATGGATTTTAAATATATCATTAATAAATAAAAATTTTTTAATAAATAAAAATATTTGCGAAAAATTTTCAAAAATAAATAATTGTCTACCCCGTGCGAAGCCGGGAGGGCTGCTAGTAAATTATAAAATAAGCTGTAGGTAGATACGACAGCACTCAAGTGAAAACCATAACAAAACACATAACGTCGTTGCGGCGCCGCGCCGCTAGGATCGACAGTAGCGTCACTGCCGATTTAAGCGGCGCGGCGCCGCAACACAGCGCTCGTTCCAGCATAGCAGCGTAATGTCTTCTTAATAACAAATAATCAACAAGTTTTTCACGATGGTCCATGGCCGAGACACGTCTTTCCACAATAAAAAATCACGACAAACTGGTTACCCTACCGAACGACAATAAAACGCTCTTTGTCACGACCGACGCCGCAACGCCGCAATGCAAACTGCCGATTTTAGCGTTGCGGCAACGCAACGCGGTTATGTGTTTCGGCAGATTCTGTTTCGTGCCGAAACACAAATATAATTATATAATTTTATCATTGCCATCTACGCGATTTCGTAGCAAGTATTGCTACGGCGTAGCACCGTAGCACATTCGTAGGTGCGATCACTTCGTTGTATTTTCTGCCTTTCAAAAAGTCAAAGTCAAAGTCAAAATCATTTATTTCAATTAGACCAGGAAGGCACTTTTGAACGTCAGCAATAGAAATTTAAAAGTGAACTATTTGCTCATTCCAAGGTGTAGATTCCTATGGAGAAGAACGAGCAAGAAACTCCATAGGTTAAACTTTTCCAATCCTTCACAATACAATTCTTCAGTTACACAGTTTTATTGGTTCGATTATGCGAGAACAATGTAACACCACACTTGGTGTGCCTGTTTATAGTTTACCCGCTTTTATTGGGTCGACTTGTTACGAAGTATGTATGTAAAAAAATCTAAAAATCAGAATTATAATACTTCTAATTTGTTGTATCATCATGAAACTTAGCAATCACATCTAGATTAGGTGGCCATGCAATATTTAGGTGCCAACCTGGTCAGATGTGGATTTGGAAGGTCTATAAATGGAAGTAGTTTGCAGTCATTCGTTCATTCCTTTTGATGACGAAGCCATATATATGTGTTAGAATATGCAGTTTTGGAACGCAACCATTTCAGTTCGTTTTTCTGTCACTGGTGTCGGAGTGTCGCTCTCTCTCTCTCTCTCTCTCTCTCTCTCTCTCATTTTGAATCTCACATTGTAAACGGTCGTACGAAATAAATAACTAAAGTATTCTGTGTAAATATTTCTTTTATTAACTAATACATCCACTCTAAAATCTCACAATATGTTCAAATGTACTAATTTTGTTTTTAAACTAAGTACAATTATTGATATCGTATGTTTAGAAATCTTCAAGTTTAGGAGAGCAATGCTTCTGCGCGAGTCTGCACGAGTATGCCGACCGGAGTGATACCACGGCCTCACAGAAAACCGATGTGAAACAACGCTTGAGTTGTGTTTCGTAGTGTGAGTGAGGTTACCGGAGGCTCAATTACGAAAATTGATTTTTAAAAACATGTCGTTGTCTTACACCATTATTTTCTCCTGTGTCGTGCCAATCGAACCTGTTACACGTTACACGGCAGCCGGTTGCCTAGCCACCGCGACAACCGTTCAGTCTTATGTCCAATATTTTTTTTTTTTAAACGTTGCCCCATCTTAGGATTTTCTCCTGTGTCGTGGGTGCGTTTACAAACATACAAGTTTACATAAACAATGACACCCAGACCCGAAACAACAATTTGTGGATCACACAAAGTGTTGTTCCGTGCGGGAATCGAGCCCGCGCCACGTTTCACAGCAGCCGGTTGCCCAGCCACCGCACCAACCCTGCAGTCTTCATAATTATGTACCTAAATGCAACGACTGTATATTTTGTGAGGTCACGAAGAGATAAAACATACAAACGCGTATAAAAGTTCCCGTAATCTGCAAATCTCGTCAGTTCAACGCCAAGTTCGAGCAGCGAGAACAGTCTCAGTACTAGCATCTACGAATATCGCAGCGATGAAGTTCATTGTGAGTACTATCTATAATATAATTAATTCAACTTCTTCAAATTTTAATTTGTAGAAATTCATAGACCGATTTGGCTAATTTTGGTATCAATACCGAAATGCAGACCTTTTCGAGATTAAACGAGAGTAACGTACAGTAATTCATTTTTGTATAGATTAAACAAAGGAAACGAAAAATATAGACGCACTGCTAATAACTTGACTAAAAGAGCCAGCATTTGTTGGTATTTGAATATTCATTAAAATGTATATATTTCCTATAAACTGAAAGAATTTGAATATTTTTCCATACACAATAGCTTAGCAATAGCGACCGTGTGATCAAAGAAGTAGTCGACTGAAGCAGCACTCAGCAAATATTAATGAGTAAATATTTATCTTGTTCCAGGTGACATTACTTCTGGTCGTGGCGCTCGTGGATCTAATCCATTGTGAGTATCTTTAAGTAACCTGTTACTTGCTCTCCTATATCCTATAGTCGTAGAGAAATACACAAAAAGTACTGAATATTCATAAGTACAAATCTTCTACGTATCTATTTCTTCTCTACTCATTATATAATACCTACATGTCTTACTTATACGTAATTTATTTTTCTTGTTTTTTTTTTATATCAAATCCTAAGTTTCGTTTATATTTATATGTCGGAGAAAATGCACCAATTGGGGGTACTTCGTCATCGGATTCGTCGTAAACGCGGTAAGTTCGGTACGGGCTGGCCGAACAACCGCTCACCCTCGCGTCCAACTCAAAAGTGACGCCTGTCAAATGTCAACATGCCACGCCCCGTACCGACCATCACCCAAGCACACTGCTTGACGTTTCCGACAAATGATAACAGATGGCGTTGTTCTAAAATAACGATACTCGATAGTTGTGCATCTTTGTTGATTCTGCGACATATATATTTTTTTAAGGTTAATTTATATCAAAACAAATCAAGTGCAGTTTAAGGCATTGGCTGCCAATAAAAAACTATTGAAGGCAAATCCTCCGCTAATGTCGGTCACCAGTGACTGCCATGGCGTTTAACGTGTTAAATAATAATAATTTTGTAAATTACAGGTACACCAACGGACCGCAAAGCTGATTATATAATAGACAATAGCAGTTCTAAAGATCCTGAAGATAAACCTGTACCAAGTTCAGTCACAGAGAAGTGGGAAGTGGCTGGGTCAGCCGCGGAAGTTGTCAATCTCGATGATTCTGTACCCGTGAAAACAAACGAAGAAACTAAGAGTCCGATCGCAACTACGGAACCTACCTCTTCTGACAACTTCATTAATTCTTTTTGGTATTCAAATTTTGCAAACCTAGCAGGAGATCCTCAAAAATATGTGTTTTGTGGGAATAAGTGGTAAACTCAATATGTATAAATAAATAAATAAACCATATCTCCAGCAGTATACTCCCGTTGTTGAATTCACTGAACTGAATGAAGCCCCTGTAAATACACGGTCTGTCCTAGTGCTATAAGCTGTCATAGAACTAAACAATAAGGCAAAAGATTTGAATTTCTATCTTCTTTGGAGTCTTCTATTTACTTGGTGTTTTTGTTCAATAGATGTTTGAAACGTTATAAGTATGTCTCTCTTTATTCTGATCTTTAATTTTTTTTCGTTGGTCTGGATTGATTATACTAGTACATTCTATAAAAAACCGTCTACTAAACGCAATTGAAATGTTCTTAAGCAATACATAAAACATTTTTTGCCTACAATATAATGTTTTTTTTAAAAACCTTGTTGTTTTTTGATGTTAGTTATACGTTTCTGCGAGTCAAAGCTAAAATCATTTATAAGACCAGTCCAGTATAAGACACTTTTGGACATTAAACGTTAATTTAAAATAACCCACATGTGGATTATGTCACATTTTACCTCTATATAGAGTTGTATAGATAATAATTTATAGTAATTTCAATTAAAATAAAATAAAATATGTACACGTTAAATTAAACTAAAAATTAAATGGAAGCAATAAACAATATTGTTGCGATTTTTCAACCACAATGTACTATAGTAGTTTTCACAAAAAATGTACACAAAAAGTTTAAATAAAAATAAAATTTTATCATTATAATTTATGTGATTACGTAGCAGTAAATAAACATTTTTTTAAATTATTATAATTAGGTAGGGTAACAAGGCCTGCTTATTAAACTATGCAATTAATCAAATAAAACAACATAATTTGATACTTGAGATCAATCATCATCCAGTCAATGGCAGAATAATACTTTACCATATTAATAATTAAATGAGTAGCCTCATCTAACAACCACCAGGGCATTTTTTAAAGGAGGGAAAACCATCGAATGACTGTCCCGCCTTGGTGAGCCGAGCGGGAGTGTCAGACTCTTACTGACTAAAAACCACCCCGTTACTACTCCTGCATTTCGAGCCGGAGCCCCGGTAACCCGTTAAGCTCTCCGCGGCTCCGTATCGGCATCAGCCCTATTGAGGTGGTTGGCTGGCTCTTTGAGCTCTTCTCTTCTCTTTGAAGCGCTGCACGCTCAGGGGGCTTACTCTTGAATTCAATTCCGATTGATCGACATTGGTATTGTGAAATTTCGTACTCTTGAGTTGCAACACTAGCACCCATTGCATCCGTATTGCGTGGAAATTGAATGAACTAAATGATATTGAGTTTGGCTTTATAGTCCGTACTCCGAATGCTGTTTTAACAGCTACTATTGTGGTTGTATAGTTTTGACATTGTATGATTAACATAACATAACATCACGCCTTTTACCCCCGAAGGGGTAGGCAGAGGTGCACATTACGGCACTTAATGCCACTGTACAATGTAACACCCACTTTTCAATTGTATGATTATTGAGATTTTATTGGATTGAAATTGCATTGACATTGAAATTGGTTTCAAGAGTAAGCCCCCTGGTCTGGATCTGGTCGGGCGGCGAGCTACCTATGCTGGCCGTCCGCAGGCCCGTGCTTACGGTGGCTGGAGATCGTCCCACGATCCCCGGCGCCCGAAGTATCCTTCGCGACGACTGGGCTGTGAGGAGTAGCGGTTCGCTGCCTCACGCGCCCCGCCTCCTCCTTAGCTGCACGGTTGGTGCGGTGGCGGGGCAACCGGCTGCCGTGCAACGTGTCGCGGGTTCGATTCCCGCACTGTGTATGTGGTTGGGTAGGAGGCGCTTAAGCGCCGCCCCCGTCCTTTTCAACTTAGGAGCCAAACGTCGGAAATACATCCACCAGGGCATACGAAGTCATCATACCATCATAGTCCGAATACCTGATTATCCTCTTTACAAGATCAGCTTCTTGTTTTGGATTCATTATAAGCCCAACGACCACAACAATCCAATATGACCCAAATTTTTTACCAAAATACCACTTTGGAGATGGTTTCTTATTGTTCTTCTAGGAATATTGTATCTCTCTGCAGCCGCATACTGACTCATGATTCCTCTCTGTACTGCGCAAACAGCTGAAACCAAATGATCTACTGACCACAATGCTCGTGAACATAGGAACTGTGAACAATGTATGATTTACTGAAATAATTTGAAAATAGTGTAAACATTAATAAATATTTATCTATAAATATAATAAGGCCTACTACAATATTTTGCAGGCCTTATTACACATAGGTATTTATGGAAAACGAAATAAATACAATTTGGACTGTAGAACGTTAATGAATAAAGCAATGTGCCAGCATAAGTTAACGATAACATAGGCAGTAAGTGCAAGGAGATAAGTGTAATAATTTAAGAAATACTTACGTTTTATCGGAGCCAATATTTGTAAAAACGTGACGTGCAGCAAAAGCGAATGAGATGGCCAACTCTTACCGCCTGGTGGCGCCTTGTATGTGTAATTTATTTATTTTATTAAATATTTATTTATTAAATATGCTTCATGCACAAAATGTACAAATAGGTGGACTTAATGCCGCAGGCATTTTCTACCAGTCTGACCTTTGGGTGATGCAGAGAAGAGTAAATGGTAGGTGCAAGAGGCAAGCAGTGATTTTATTTAACAATAAAAGATAAACTAATATATTTCGGAGATATACACATGAGTACAATATGCCTACATACATACGTATATCCATAATATATAAATATATACTTGCTTACTAGTCCACAGTGGATAGTTAGCGCGATGATTCAGCCAACCTCTTTAAGAAAAACTCACGTACTTTGTGCTTAAAAGTTAGTCGAATTGAGATTATGTTATTTTTTTATTTATATGTCATGGCTCCACTTCACCACCCTATCTATGTCACCCTGGAGTCGCTCACAGTCAGACTGATCCCCAACCAACTTGAGGTCATCTGCAAACAATAAAGATGTACTATGTCTTACTACTTCCGGTAAGCTGTTAATCATTATGCTCATAAAAACAAAAGTTTATTTAAAAAGCATACATAACTAATATCAACACAAGAAATGAAGACAAATATGTTGTTCCCAATACTAGACTTAAGAAAACAAGTGGTTCGTTTAGATGTCACAGTATACGCTTTTACAATGAAATTCACAGCCATATCCAAAATTTAAGTCTAAATAAATTTAAAAATGTCATTAAAGATAAACTTTATAGTAAAGCTTTTTATAAAATAAAAGACTACCTAGATGATAGTCGGGCTTAGGAATAAACTGCTGTAATGTCCACACAGGTCATGTCGACGTTAGTAACATAATTATAGTTACATTTCTTTTTATATACAATTTGACATAATTACTTTAATGTGACATTGTTTTTCATTTGAACATTTTATTTTTTTACCTTGACATCTACTTTTTATTTTACAATTATTAGTGCTAGGACCGTGCGAGATTTTGCCTCGCCATTTCTCTTCTAATTACCCATATTCTGACAGTTTGAGTATTTGTGCGACCCACGCAAATGTTCTTTAGGTTGGTGTTGTTCGTCGAATCAGTCAGCCTCACCTGTTAATTGAGCTGATTGTAAACCGACACATGCGTACTGCCTTCAGAGCGGGTCCGCTCAAACTGTTGTGGTTCTTTCCTCAAAAGGCCACTACAGAAAGAACTTGCACGGTTCTCACACATAATCTTTTATACACATTTGTCTGGACTTTAAAAGAGACAGACCTCTGAGTTTGTTTCGGCATTTCTTCTCAGAGTAGTCAGTTAGGAAATGTCG